TCGATCGACCGGATACTGTTTTAATAGAGATTCAGTCCATAATATTATACTAGTCCAACTTTAAGCATAAAATAATACAAAGAATAATATAAAAATTCATAGTTATATAATTGTACATGTGAAATTCTGACAATTCTTATTATCTACTCATAACCACTAGCTAAATATGGAAACATCCATAGAATCAGGAAGAAAAATGGTCTCTTAATTAACTGGCTCTATAATTTACTCAACTTAATTAATAAACTCATCAACTATACAATATGAAAATGGAAGTATTTAATGTATTTTTTTGTGTTAAATTATAAATGTGTCCCAACAATATGTGCCCTTGTACAAGGGCAATGTTTAAAAGGACAGGACAACAAAATAAAAATTTAGAAAAAATAAATAAAAAGAAGTTAGATATGGTATAACCATTTGGTATCTTAGACATAACTGGATGAGAATTGAGTATGTTTTAATGGAATAGCCTAGAAAAGGAACTGTTACATTCTTGATGCAGTGGTTTGAGTTAGATTTGTAGGGTTGGTGTGTAACACTCCCCTGTCAAAGCTAACCCACATTTTATGCAATTTGTTACAACAAAACATCTGGCATTAAAATAACACTGCCAATATGTAAAATTATTTTTAGTCGATATTATGTAATATAAATTTATATATGCAACTTTTTCAATACCGCGATATAACATAGTGAAAAACTATTGGTAAAAAACGCATATTCCAAATGTAAGAGAATTGAACGATCTTGATTTATCAGGTTTTAGGCTTGATCAACTCATTGATAATAGATAGAAGCTGTAAGGAAACGTGAAACGTTTGATTATTATTATAATGTTCAAACCTCATTTTAATTTGGAACATCGAGAATAGGATTTCAAGTCGAATCAATTTTTGACAGTCTAATAGTTATTCAAAAACTCAAATACAATGATAACTTACAATCATCATATGAGCCATATGTCTTGGCCAATAGTTGTCTATAAGCAATCATAATCTTGGTGTCATGAATATCTATCAATTGAATTGAATATCCTACTTGTTCATAAAACAAAATTAACCATATATTATCATTTCATAGTCCTCTTTTACAACTATACTATAGTAATCCTAGTTAGTTAAGGATTGATCACTAGCTACCAAAAAGATTCTTGCATCATTACGCATTGCATGAACTAACACAATTTGAACCTATATTTATAAGTCAAATCTTGCAACTGTTATACATATAGTACTATAAATAATATACCTAAGCTAGCTAGTTTAGCTAAAATGGTGGTCACAACCCTATAAATCCATATGATCACACCAAAGCTGTCAACTTTGCTCTCACCAACTTAATTTGTACGATGAGTAAGTGTAACATCAAATATTATATTATAGAATTTTCATTAAACTAATCATACTAACAACCTTAATTTGACTAGATTATTGATTAAAGGACCTAATTAAGATTTTAATTAAAAAAAAGTACTAACCCTATAATCTTCCCTATAAAGTAGTAACTCAACCTATAACTTTGAACATAGGTAAAGCCCTTTCCATCTTGCCTTTTGCTCTAAGTTCAAGTTCTCTTACCTCTAAAGCATGCTATAAAGTACTAAATTACAGTTATAAATATGTACATTATATGATAATTAGCATATCACGATGTTATGATTTTGTGGTCCTCCACCCTTCTTACTAAATAATCACATTTTATGAGCTAAAGCATACTAGAAGATTATTAATGGACCTCCCTTAGATCATTTAGCTAGTGTAGAGTTGTAGGGTTATTATTTTTTATTATTGTTGCCATGTTCTTATAAAATCATGTTCGGAGTGCATAATCTCCTCGATCAATTTTTTGGACTTTTGAAAAAGGTTCTAATTGGTGGGCGAGTTAAAATAATTTAATAAAATTAACAACAGTTACTATTTTTATAGTGCGAAATTTTATATTCCATCATATCGAATATGTAATATATCTTAATTTCTTTAGAATTAATTAATCGTATTGATAGATTTCATAAACAATAACATGATAAGATTTAAATTAAAATTTACTACCATATATTATTCTTTTTTTTTAAAAAAAAAAAGAGACACATTTTAAATTTAGAATCTTTAAGTGCTAGAAATGATTGTTAATTGCTTCTAATAGAAAGAAGCTATCTCTTAAAATCCCGAGTAACGTACATTGATTCGTTCATGTTATCAAAGCCAATCCTTTTCTTTAACCCTACATGTCAACAAGTAGATTAGCTCGCAAGGTCGTAATTTTATGGATTATCATTAGCCAATAAGATATATATTGCAAAATTTTCAAGTAATGAATTGAATCATAAAGCACTAAGTTTTCCCCATAATATTATCCGTCCTTACTTGTTTTAGAGATTTTAGAAGATTTATGGAAATCAAACAATTACATTATTGCATAAACATTTCGTAAGAGTTGGGAAAATTTCACTACTTTAGATGATGAGATTGATGCACATATATATGGTGGTTAAATCACTTTTTTACCCTAGCCAACCAAAATTGACATCTAGCAAATAAGACAACAAAGTATTTTAATTTTAACCTGACATTAAATTAAAATAAATTCCTCATCAAAAACCTTTTAAATGATTCAGTTAATTGGATTAATGACCAGCAAAGATCTCCTTAGTGGATCTTTGTCTAGTGCTTTACAGACCATGACATTTTTCTCCTTTTTTATTTTTTTACCTCTTGTTACTATTACCTGTGTTACACTCCTTTATTATCCTACATCCTCTTGCTAGCTAGCTTGCATTTTTATTATATTTTAGTAATATCATATTCATATTAATCATATAGTATCATTAACCAACATCAAAACTTCTTTTTCTGCTATTGCTGACAATGAATTCCTTCTATGTTGCTTCCCAGATGGAATATCAAATATTATATTATATGCATGGATTCTTTGTAAAAAGTGTATAGATGCATATTTCTTATAAGTTTTCCTAACAATGTACAAGTATTAACATTACAATGTATGTGTATATATAACTCTATATATGCAAACAATGTTCACTGTTAGGCCTTGTTCTTTTAAGCTGTTATGCTCTGCTCTGCTGATCGAGCCCTGTTCAACTCTACTCTGCTGAGCCCTGCTCACCTATGCTCTAACTAGAAGTTCAAAAAAACAGGACTTTACTCTCTATAAATTAATATCATAAAATAAACATATTTTATGCAGAGAACTATCAAGAAACGCACAGTACACGTTATTATAAATATATACATGTATATACTGCAAGTTACCGAAACAATCTATAATTAGCAAATTGTTACTCCGTAGTACATATACATAGTTAGATATAAGTATTTAGCTTTATTAAAGTTTACAAATTTGTATTTTCCAAAACTTTTTTTAAAACAAAAAATGAAAAAGAAAAAGAAAGAAGGTAGCTTTGCATGGGATTAGTGAGGCCAACACTTTTGACCACAGTTGCATTGGTGAACCAACCCGCAAACAACAACAACAGACCAACAGTCATTAATTTGTATTTATGCTCATCCGATCCTATTCGCCAGCTCCCTAGCTTTGCTATTTTAGGACCCTACATAACATAACATACATTTTTTTTTTTAGTAAAAACATTTAATAAAAACTATAGGTTATGTTATTTATACACACATGAATGTATGTTTGTGATGAAAATTAAAATTAAAGACTTTTCATTCCCAGGTAAGTAAATTATCTGCTTTAGATCATCAATCACCTTTTTCTGGTGTGTGAACATGATCTCGAATCTATGCTTACTTCCTCTTTACTCCCTCTCTTCTTTCTCCTTTTTTTTAAAGGAAAAAAAAAAAAACACTCTGTTTTTTTCCTCCTAATAACTTTAGATTTTACTTGCTATCAATCAATTATTCCTTTTTAAAAAAAAAAAAATTATTGGGAGCAAAATTATATATATACATACTTCTATATACTCCGTATATGCTAGCTTTGGTATTAAGGTATATGGTTTAATTTATAAGTATAATAAGTACAAGTAAATAAGTAATATAGCTAACTTGTTATTCTTTGCTTGGAATTTTAGGATGGCTTAAATTTATGCTATGTATACATATGGAGGAAATTACTTCTTTTGTTGACTTTAACTTAGTGGAGATAACTCAGATAAGTGTGAGTGAATTATGTCCTTAGAAATTACAAATCATTTATGGAATCTATATAATATTTGTGGTATAGATGTTTTACGAATGTGTTACTTTATCCGTACAAAAGAATAGTCGTAGGTGTATGATTTAATGAAATCATAGCTAACAACTTAAGCTTCCTCCGAATTTTGTTATTTTTTATTTTTTATTCTTGCCATTTAAAATCTTTTATTGGAAAAAAAAAAACAAACAAACGAAAAAAAAAAAAAGATCAGTATGTAAGAAGAACAAACTAATGGATCAAAGGTAGCAAAAGGTAGTCATGTTTTGTACGAAGTATAATTTTTTTAATAGAGTTATGTTTTGACGTTTTGTATATGGTGAAAATTAAAACCAAAAATTATTTAAAAATAATAATAAAAGGTAAATTTAGTATTTTTATGTCACGCCTTTATTTACAATGGTTTACAAAGTAGAACAAAGTGACAAAGTATGTACATAGTTTGTTAACTACTAGTATAAATTACATACTGTAGTATATTTCAAACTTGAGTTGTATCTTTTATATCCTAACTTTTGAATAAATAATGGAGAATCAAAAAGAATAAGAAAAAAACGGTTAAATAACACATGCACATTAAATTGTCTAATATTTCAACCAAGTATTCATCTCACAAATCATGCACTCAAAAAAACTTAGCCCCTACATTATTTACTTCTCCATCCATCAACAAACTTGACCCACATATAAGAACTACTATACATTCTAGACTATACCATAACACCAAGAATCCAATGAAGCTCTAAATAATTGAATCAAATAAAATGGACTAATAGTAATCAAAACATTAGGTTAAATTAGCAAAAAAAGAACATATAACATATTAAAATTAATTACTATCTCATAAAAATTAATCACCAAATTACAAAATTAACCCATTAGCAATAGCTCTATTAGTATGAACATGAGTAGTTTCATACACGGGCAACTCTTCACGGTACATCCGATGATGATCACTTCCAACTTCTAGCAAGTGATCGAGCTCGAAAAGATCCGAGCTACAACAACTAACATCATCATCCTCCTCATCCTCATTCTCATCCTCGAATACACGATTTTTCGTCTTATTATTAGTACCATCATTTTGATATTTTCTACCATGATGATAATTCTTTAACAACTCCTTAGCAACTTCTTCGACTCTCCTTTGCTTTTCACTTATCTGAACTTTAAACTCGTCGTTTTTCAACGTACTACTATTACGAGTAGTAGCTTTCTCTCTCCACCTATCTTCTCTTTTACCATCATTATACACTTTATCATCGTTGGTGGCGGCGGTGGTGGTGGCGATTACGGTACTTACCGGACAAAACCTCACCGACCGCCTCTCGAACCTTCCGGCGGACGACGGAGTTTTACTCAAACACGACCGCGAGTACGACGACGCCGTAGACGGCGTCGACGTAGAGTATTTCAGAACATTTGCCGATGACGATGAGATCTTCGGCTTTTTCGACGAGTTTGAGTTAAACAACGAGTTAAGAAAGCTAGCGAGTTTACCACCAGGTGAAATCGGTTGTTTCACCTTCTTCAAATCACCATAAAGCTTCAACGCTCTTTTCTGAAGATTACCTTCTTTGTTACCTTTCTTCTTCGCCGGAATTTCATCGGAGTAGCTTTTCCGGTGAAATTCCGGCTGATTTAGGTTTGTTTTTATCGGCTTCAATGTCGGCACCGACTTCGATTTAGATGATCCGTAGAGTGATTCAGTATCAGATGACGAAAATCCTCCGATTCCGGAGCTGGAATCGGAGGAACTCGTGGAAGAAGACGAGTTAAATTTAGCAGAGGTAGAATTAATCGCCGCCATAGAATTACGGCGGCGATTAATTCTCTCGTTATCCATCCATTGCTCTAACACCGCTCGATTTACGCCTCGTAGTCTCTCGTTCTCGATTTCTCTCTCAATTACGCTCTTGTTGTTCTTTACCTTCCTGTAACCATCATTGGTTTGATGGTGGTGGTGGTGGTGATGGTAATGATTATCCCCCTCGTCTTCGTCGAAAGAACGGTAGATTTCTTCGAGAAGCGAGGAGGAGAAAGAAGGGGAGTTGTAGTGAGAGTTATGATTGTAATGCTGTCTTCTGCTGCTGCTACTACTGGTGGAAGTTGTGGATACGCCGTTCATTTTTCGGGTTTCGAGTTTCGATGGAGAGGATGTGGGAAATGGTATGATGAAGGGGAATGGAATTGGGGTGAAAACAGGGGAATTAGATGGTATTTTAGGGGTAATTTTAAAAGAAAAGATAATTGAAAAAAGGGGGAAGAATGAGTAGTGTTTGTGTTTGGTAGTACAAGAGTGATTGATGGTGTTAAGGGGGAAGATTAGAGAAGAGACAGTAATGAAAGCCTAATTCCACGCCAAAGGAGGAGGAGACAATTTTAGAGAGAGTGAGTATGAAGAATAGAGAGAGAGAATAGATGTTTGTGTTTTTTAAAAGGAAGTGTGTAATAGTGTGTGAAGTGTGTATGGAGATAGTCGGCTCTTATAAAGGATGTGTGGGATTGTATGTACGCGCCTAGAAAGCTATCTACGTGGGTCATGTAAAGGTGCGGTATGGTTTCATTCTAAAATCAATTGATTTATGTTTATAATAATTGTATTTGAAAATTTTTCAATGGTAGCCACCTGATTTTGCTTATTTTTAATGGTAGCCAATTTTTATTTTGATTACCAAATTTCTCAAACGTGACATTAATCAAGCGTGCTACCATTGATAATCAAATTAAAAATTGATTACCATTGAAAATAAGCAAAAAAAACAATCAAATAAGGGCTACCATTGAGAATTTCCTTTATATATACGTCCTTGAATGAAAGCGGCCAAGGTCATTTTAATTTTTTTATCTTTATTTTATTTTTTAGAGGTGAATAGCTAGATGTACAATACAAGTAGTAACTTAATATAAACTTGGATGTTTTTATTTATTTATTTTTTTTTTATTTTTTGGTATGGAAACTCTGTAGAGGATTAAGTGTTGTTCAATCACCTGATTAAAGACTCAAATCATTAACAACTAAATTTGAGTATACATGCACATATATGCATGGTCTATATATATCATGAGGACAGACATAGTTAATTTACTTACAAGTTCAAATGAGATTTAATCCCTAAAATCAAATGTCAATTGTTTACTAGTTTAATGCTTCTTTGTCATAATAAATTCATAATTTAGAAAAACCTCTACAAGAATATATTGTTATTGTACTTCGTATTAAATAGGAGTTATAAAGGATCAAATGAACCCCGTTGAGAACAGTACCAACAGTTGACAATAATAATAATAATAATAATAATAATAATAATAATAAAGGAGATTACTCTTGAGTCATTACTATGAAATCACATATTCGAATCATTAAAGGCTCTCTTAGAGATGAATTTTCTTACCCTTCCTTCGTCCCTAAGGTATATACGAAATAAGATTAAACTAGAATTGTATCACCTAAAATAATAAAACTTTGTTTCGGAATTGTTTTATTAACACCATCATAAAAATCTAATAAAGCGTGTATGATTAGACGAACAAAATGCTTTAGACACTACAAGAAAAATCTCTTTTCGTAGCGATTGTACATTCGCTACAATATGCAAGTATGTTTGTGAAATAATTAAGGATGTCGTATCATTTTTACAATCGCCATGGTTTTCCCATATAAAATCGATACGGAAAACATAATAATACATATCCACACTATTTTTACACATTTATATAATTTTGAGAAATCGTATCAATTACAATCGGCACTAAATCCTAATAATCGATAAAAAAAAAAGCCTTTTTAACACTAGATATATAAATATTGTTTGACAAAGAATACAAAAAATATGTCATAGCTTATTGGTGAAACATTTAATATAAGAGTTTGAGGTTGCATATTCGAATCTTGTAAAGATCATACGCATGTGTTTTTTTTTTTTTTTTTTTGAATAAAATGAGTTAAACATTTATAGCGATTGTAATCGCTACAATAATCATCACAATTGGATGTAGTTTTTCGTATCGATTACTGAGGCCAACCCCAGCGATGTTGAAAACCACCATTAAAGGCTAAGGCCACGGGGGATATTGTATCGAATGACCATTCGTTGGGAAAGCTTTGTGTTGCAATTACAATCGATACTAAAGGTTAAAATAATCACTACGAAAAGGTTAATTTCTTGTAGTGAGAAGGAATTGGAGATATCACGAGTGCTTTAATTTGTCCTCATATAAATGGAAGAGTGTTGCCAAGTTATTGGAAATATAGCTTATTAGGTTTCATGAGTGGTTCCATTTGTAATTGACTCTTGATACTGTAGTATTCAAGTAGGCACGAAAGGTAACAACAAATAAAGACAAAAAATATTCGAAATTGGGACACTCGTTTTCCATGATTATTCGATCGGGATGATGCATGCTAACCGGCTAACACTAAACTCTCAAGTACCATTTATACTCCTACATACAACATTCAAGTGTCAGAGCCACAAGTGTGCAATACATTTATCATTGCCATATGCTACGGAGTATATTTCTACATACAATATTCTAAATGTAAGATAGTTTTTTTTTTTTGGACAATAAAGATAGGTATTTTTTTAGTAATAATTGATGTAATAGAGCAAAATAAATCTCATTTTTTTTATTATTTTTTTTATTTCTAATAATAAAGTTCGTATAAGATCAGACTAACCATAAGTTATGAAATACTAACTATTCCGTATTAGGCTCTGTTCTCTTCACCTTAAAAAAATAATGTTAAGTAAAAATAATTTCAGTTCAGTAAAAATAAGTTCAGTTCAGTAAAATTAATTTCAGTTCAGTAAAAATAATTTCAGTTCAGTAAAAATAAGTTCAGTTCAGTAAAATTCAGTTTTCTTAAAGAAGAATTATAATAGAAAATCAGTAAAAATAATTTCAATTCAGTAAAAATAATTTCAGTTCAATAAAATTAAGTTCAGTTCAGTAAAAATAAGTTCAATTCAGTAAAAATAATTTCAGTTCAGCAAAATTAAGGTGAATCAAACAGGGCCTTAGTCATGCTAACCTTAGCTTGGTAGAGCACGCACTTACAGAAATTTCCATAAGAATTCTTCTATTCTAATAAATTATGTGAAATGTATAACAAAGGCACATTTTTAATTGAATGTATAGATATTAACTATCTTGTCTCTCCCTTCTTATATCAAAAATAAATAATCTGTACATCACATAGACTTTCTAATACGTAGTATAAATAGTTAAATTATAATATTATACACGACTACGAAGTACTCCGTACATTCATTTCTAAATTTCCTATTCTTTTCTCTTTTGCGTAGTTTAAAAAAAAATCTGAATAAAAATTTAAAATTTAGAAATTTAGAACATAGAAGATCGAGCATGCTTAGCTGGAGGAAGACAAGTAGGGAAGTATGGACATGAAAATATTAATTGCTTTCCTATTCTTTTCTCTTTTACGTAGTTGCGCTTCACATGTTATACTTTGAAATTTCTTACCTTTCTCCTCGATGAAAGAGGAGACATTTTTTTTTGGGTTATTGTCATTGTTGGAGGAAAATGGTAATTGGTAACCAGTGTGGATTAATGGATTATCTAATACTTCCTCTGGTTTTTTTTAGTTACACTTTTCTATTAAATTATTACGTTTGTCAATGTATGTTTTTTAAGATTAATATCTCTATTATCAACATTGTAAGATTATAAAAAGTGAATATTAATAAAATATACATTGAAACAATTCAAATAAGATTTATCTCACATGAATATTTTTTTTATATCTATAAACCACAAAAGCGAGTCAAAACGTCTTGTATGAATAATGTAAAAGTCAAATGATATTAACTTTAAAAAATAACGGAGGAAGTACTTCATATATTTATCTTAACTGTTGAATTGTTGGGGTGGACTCGAGATATAAGATGGCATCAGATGTTATTTATTTGTCTTTTATGACTCTTTCATTTAGTAATTATTAGCCATTAACTCAATAATCGAATTTAAAATATCATTTCCTAACAAAATAATTTTCCAGGAAAAAATTTCTCCAAAAAATTGTATGATCAATTGAACAAACCTTATAAAAGTTATGGGATTATGAACTAGCTAATCTTAATAATGGTCAAAATGGATTTTAGTTTAGTTAAACAAATGAAGTTTCTTTTTTTTTTTTTTTTTTTAAGAACAAGTGAAGTGGTTGAATATGTGATATTACTGGTATACTGTGATCAAATGTGCCCTACATTCTCTCTCAAATATGCCCTACATTTCTCTCAAATATGTCCTACATTTTTTTTAATTTTTTTTTCTTTTTTCATTCCCTAAAAAAAGAACAATTTGGTCCCAAAAAAAAATATCTGAAGATTATATTTTTACTTTTCTTACATCAGTTTATGTGCAGTCTACTTTCTTTTACACAAAAGACGGCAGTAAAATTAAAAATGTACAAAATCAAATTATATTTCTCATAATTTGCAACTGGAGGACGGAGTATAATTTTTTTGTTATTTTGTTCAATGCTTTTTGAATATGGAAAGAAAAAGAAGTTGATGATAAAGTACTACGTAAATATATTTATTTACCTTCAAAAGCTACATATTTTCCTTTATATATATAAATCTCCATGCATTTTACTAGTAGTGTATGTAAAGATAGTTTGTTAATTAGAGAGAAAACTTTCTTAATTGTTAGTAAATCTTTCTTTTCTTAAAAACACATATGGAAAGATAAAATACAATTTCAATTATAGCTTAGAGATATAGGTATATGGAGCCTTGCTTGTTGTAGTTATACCTCCTACTCAACTAAACTATTTGTCGACATTTGTTAAAAATATTACTTACTACATAATTGGTTATACTCAAATCCTATAATCCTATTACTTATGTATATTCGCGACAACTATGCTCTGTCTTAACAAATTAAAATAAACTACATATTTGATTTAGACAATGCATAAATATTACATTATTAGTATACTTAATTTGATTATCAAAGTATAGTAAGCTTATGGCTAATTAAGCTTTTGATTGGATCTTAGATTCGTGCTAGCCAGGTGTGGATCTAAACGGATTAAACTTTTAAAAGTTAGCGATTAAATACCCAGTTTAGAAGAGACCCACAACCTGGGCTCTGATACCATGTTAAGTTTCGAAATAATATGAAATGGGCCTGTGCAACCCGAACAAGGAGGAGGAGATTAAGAGGATTATTGATCTGGCCTTATCCAGATAGCTCTGAAGTTCTAAGGACACTCATAAGTGAGGGGGAGTGTTGAAACCCATTGTAGCCCACTTATGAGTGTGTCACATTGGAGAAAAAGGAGAGATGATTTCACTTTAATTTATAAGGTAGAGGAGTACCTCCTACTATTGTCAATTGGTTTTAGTATGGAAGCTCCAAAGCCTTGTTTGTGGACCAAACTCTCCTCCTCCTTAGCTTGTTCGGGTTGCCCAGGCCCATTTCATATTATTTCAAAACATAACATTATCTCAGCTCCTCCATATATACGAGTACAAAAATGATATGCATGTACTCCGTGTAGTTTATAAATGTTATGAACTAGGGATTTGTTCTCTTCAGCTTAATTTCAGTTCAATTCAACTCCAATGAGTTCAGTTCAGTTCCTAATTTCATTCGCTCCTAAAAAATTTATTTCACCTCTATTTAGTTCAAT